ATATGATATACATATATATTGGAAGGACTTGATATTACTTGATGTGATAATCGTAGCATATTATAAAGTTTTAGTTTCTACAATGTCGCATATTTCGATATGATATAAAATATATATAAGATAGATAAGATATAAGAGGACCAATCCGATATGATATGGTATGTTTTAATATGATATTCCTTGCACTTTACAGCTGCAATTTTAAGGCCTACTGTGTGTTCTCGTTCCTAAACACCGTGGTGTATTGCATACCCGCGGGCTGGGTGTGGGGCGAACATGGATTCCTCAACAATCTGGGCGCCGTGGACATTGCGGGCAGCGGTCCAGTGCATCTGGTTGGAGGCGCCGCATCGTTTGCTTCGGCTGCCATGCTGGGGCCACGTCTGGGCCGATATGCAGAGGGCATTGATCCACTGCCACTGGGCAATCCGGTGAATGCGTGCATGGGTCTCTTCGTGCTCTGGTGGGGCTGGCTGGCCTTCAACTCGGGCAGCACCTATGGCGTCAGCGGCGCCAAATGGCAGTATGCCGCGCGTGCCGCTGTGATGACCATGATGGGCTCCTTTGGCGGGGGATTTGTGTGTTCGCTGTAAGTGCAGATCGACTACAAAGATCTTTGGAGAAATCTATCAATCACCTTACATATGCAGCTATTCGTTCTGGCGTCACGATGGCCGCTTGGACATCATGGATCTGATCAACGGCATTCTGGGCTCCCTGGTCTCCATCACAGCTGGCTGCTTTCTGTATCGCGCCTGGGAGGCGCTGCTCATTGGAGCGTTGGGCTCCCTCCTATGTGTGATCAGCATGCCGCTGTTTGATCGACTGGGCGTGGATGATCCGGTGGGTGCGAGTTCGGTGCATGGGATCTGTGGTATTTGGGGTGTCATCGCTGTAGGGCTGTTCGCCGACAATCCACTGCCCATGGACACGACTAAGGGTCGCAGTGGCCTGTTCAAGGGCGGCGGCTGGTACCTGCTCGGCATCCAAACGCTGTCCGCTCTTTGCCTGGCCTGCTGGGGCATTTGCTCGACCTTTTTGCTGCTCTATGTGATCAACAAAGTGATACCCATACGAATGGACCCGCACGAGGAGCTGCTGGGCGCCGATCTCACGGAGCATCGCATTCGTCACACGCAAATCGGACTATCGCGCGCTATTTCCGCTCTTGCTCCCATCAAGATCGACCTGAATGAGATTGTTGGCATTCAACCAATTGGGATCAATCCTGGTCACGAGCGCAGCATCGAGCAGCTGCGCGCTGCCGAGGACAAGCTGCAACAGTGGCAATCCTACCTAGACCAGGTGAGTGGGAAGGCGCACAAGGTGGGCACTCCCCAGAAAACTCTTGAAGAGCACCAACTGGAAACGGACATAACTCTTAGCTTGAAGCCCAGTATAAATGAGCATCAGCAGCCGGGCAACGTCTTTGGGCGCAGAGTGAGGTCGGTCCACATTAAGGAGAACAACTGGAACCAGGACCAGGGCACCTATAAACCCAACAACAGTGAGCTGCCGGTGATAAGCCGAGTCGCCAAGCTGGACAAGGATGGCAACTTTGCCTGGGTCGATTAGGCACTCAAAATATTGTTCTCTCTTTGAACACCGTTTATTATATATAAAATATTGTTGGGATTATTATAACTGTGCGGAAAATTACATAGATATTATGTCAACTACAGAAAAGCAAAATTATTATGTACAAAAAATCCGTTGAAAAGCTCTTAATATACAACTTAAATATATCAATTATTTTATGATCGATTAGATATACAAATTACATAGGAGAGACAGGAGGGAGACAGAGGGTCAAGTGAATATGATAAATTCCACTTCATAAAAATTTCATTCATACAAAAAGATATTATTATGATTTTTTAATTTGTTCTCATTAAATGATATAATTATTATCAAGTCTACACTCAAAAGACTCACTCACATTACTAAATCGTGCACTGCGACCAACCAGCCGCAGGTATAGACCACGACACTCAAAGAGCTTACGCTGCAATTGGCTATTAGCTGAACTCTGTTAAACAAAATAGAGCAACAGCTCAAGAGCTTTTTATAGCCGCCGGTTTTGTTAGCAGAAGAGCTGAGCGTTCTGGTACAGCTCTGCCCATCCCTCGATGTTAAAAGTCTCATTAAGTTATGTAAAGAGCACTGTTAACAGTGTTAAGTCCCGGAATCACTCAATCGTGGTACTCACCACTTGCAGACGAACGATCGTATAGCACACGATTAAGTAATGGGCTGAGTATTTAACAGTTAAATGATAAGCCTCTCGTCCCTTTGATTCTGACATAGTAGCTCAATTTGAGGCCACGCCCTTAAATCTTTTATTTTTTTCGGAGTTAATCTTTGTATTCGTTCCAAAATTGAGCAGAGTGCTCTTTCAGAGCAAGAAGCTTATATCTTAAATAAATAAAATCCAAAGTTATGTTACAGTAAAAATAAATATACCCGAAGAGACATGCCACGCCCAAAGCTTCCGTGGCCTATTTGTTATATCATATACAATGCCCCAATTATATATTATAACAATTTTAAAACATGTCTTTTCAAAAATTACCACACCCGCCAACAAATAACTCGTTTTTTTTTTCTTTTGCAAATCTCAAATTTGATTTATTTTATTCAAGTAGAAGCAAATATTATTTGGATGATCGATCGATGTATGATGATAATAATATAATATATATGTATTATCCTATGTGGTGTTTGGGCTTTTTCTTGTTTTATATATATTTTAAATGTTGCAGTTGTATTATTATAATATAGTTATCAAGAGCAATTGTCGTTTGTTCTTGTGGTTGTGTGTTTTCTAATTTAGAATCCAAGTTGTGTAAAACGTATAAATTGATTTATTGTTTGGTTTGGGTTTGTGGTTGGTGAATTGTTTAATCGACCTCCTCGATGGTTGGGCCAGCACCGCCGGCTCCAGCAGCGCCAGGAGCAGCGCCAGCTCCGGGCATACCACCAGGCATACCGGGCATGCCACCAGGAGCACCACCAGCGCTCTGGTACAGCTTGGTGATGATTGGGTTGCAAACGCCCTCCAGCTCCTTCTGGCGGTGCTCGTATTCCTCCTTGTCGGCCAGCTGATTGGCATCCAGCCACTTGATGGTCTCGTTGCACTTATCCAAGATGGTGGTGCGATCCGAGTCGGAAATCTTGCTCTTCAGATTCTCCTCATCCAGTGTGGCCTTCATGTTGAAGCAGTACGACTCCAGACCGTTTTTGGCAGAGATGGTCTCCTTCTGCTTCTCGTCCTCGTTACGGTACTTCTCGGCCTCGTTGACCATGCGCTCAATATCTTCCTTGGACAGACGACCCTTGTCGTTGGTGATCGTGATCTTGTTCTCCTTGTTGGTCGAACGCTCCAGAGCGGTGACATTCAGAATACCGTTGGCATCAATGTCGAAGGTCACCTCAATCTGAGGGACACCGCGTGGTGCGGGTGGAATGCCCGACAGTTCGAACTTGCCCAACAAATTATTGTCCTTGGTCATGGCACGCTCACCTTCGTAGACCTGGATCAACACACCGGGCTGGTTGTCCGAGTAGGTGGTGAAGGTCTGGGTCTGCTTTGTGGGGATGGTGGTGTTGCGCTTGATCAACACGCTCATCACGCCGCCAGCGGTCTCGATACCCAGCGACAGGGGGGTGACATCGAGCAGCAACAGATCCTGCACTTCCTGCGACTTGTCGCCGTGCAAGATAGCAGCCTGGACGGCAGCACCATAGGCAACAGCCTCATCGGGGTTGATGGACTTGTTCAGCTCCTTGCCGTTGAACAGATCCTGCAATAGGCGCTGCACCTTGGGGATACGGGTGGAGCCACCGACCAACACAATATCGTGAATGGCCGACTTGTCCAATTTAGCATCACGCAATGCCTTCTCCACGGGGTCCATGGTGCTGCGGAACAGATCAGCGTTCAGCTCCTCAAAACGAGCGCGAGTAATCGAGGTGTAGAAGTCGGTACCCTCGAACAGCGAATCGATCTCAATGCTCGCCTGGGTAGATGAGGAAAGAGTACGCTTTGCACGCTCACAGGCAGTGCGCAGACGACGCAGAGCACGCTTGTTGGTGGTCAGATCCTTCTTGTGCTTGCGCTTGAACTCCTGCACAAAGTGAGTGACTAGACGATTGTCGAAATCCTCACCACCCAAATGGGTGTCACCAGCAGTAGATTTGACCTCGAAGATGCCGTCATCAATCGACAGAATGGAGACATCAAAAGTACCACCGCCCAAATCGAAAATCAACACATTACGTTCACCAACAGCCTTCTTGTCCAGGCCATAAGCGATGGCCGCGGCAGTTGGCTCATTAATAATACGCAATACGTTCAAACCGGCGATGGTGCCAGCATCCTTGGTTGCCTGACGCTGTGAATCGTTGAAATAGGCGGGCACAGTGATGACGGCATTGGTAACCGTCTTGCCCAGGTACGCCTCGGCGGTCTCCTTCATCTTGGTCAACACCATGGAGGAGATCTCCTCAGGGAAGAAAGTCTTCTTCTCATCCTTGTACGTAACCTCGATCTTGGGCTTGCCATCAACGTTAACGACCTCGAAAGGCCAGTGCTTCATATCAGACTGGACGGCCGCATCATCGAATTTGCGACCAATCAGACGCTTAGCATCGAAGATAGTTTGGGTTGGGTTCATGGCCACCTGGTTCTTGGCGGCGTCACCAATCAAACGCTCCGTCTCCGTGAAGGCAACATATGATGGGGTGGTACGATTACCCTGATCGTTGGCAATGATCTCAACCTTGCCATGCTGGAACACACCCACGCAAGAGTAGGTTGTGCCCAAATCAATACCAACAGCTGGAGCCTTAGACATCTGTAACAAATAAAAAAGTATAGATTTTAGAATAGTTTATATAAGTATATATTGTTTTTCTTCTCTATTTTGTGTTATTTGGAAACTGAAAGCAGTGTCAACGATCGATTTTACATTCATTAGCGACATTTCACTGACGTGTTTGTATTGTATTGTAGAAATTAATCGATTTAGTATTCGTTTGAGAACTAAAGTCTAGAGTCATACATATATATTTTATTTACATTTTAGATGATGGTAATCAATAATTATCTCATTTAGTGGATATACATATATTCGTTTAAATATTAATTTTCATCAACAAGCTATTTAATACTAATTTGAAAGCAAAGGCTACAGCCCTGTCCATGAAAGCCCAATGAAATAAAAGTTAACGTTCTGATCATTTTCAGACCTTTTACGTAAAATTTCTCATGCGACGGAAACAGGTTGTTGCTAATGTCAGAGCGAAAACCAAAAACGGTGAAACGTGAGGTAAATGACTAATTTATATGGCCGAGACACGTATGTACATCCATGTGTATGTATGTACAATTTATTATGTATAAATGTTCCTGCAACATAAACACAAAGATAACAATAGAGTTGAAGTTCAGCTGCAATTGCAGCTGCTAAATTTCATCAAGGGATGGAAGTACCGCATGGACACAAAGGCGAAAATTCTGGAATACTATAAACCACAAACACACATACAAATACGCATAAGCATATGCATGTATCTACATGTATATGTATTGTGAACCACGCCGTTGCCAGACTGATAAGTTCGCACCTTGTACTGTACGCATGAACGAGACGGCAATAGTATACAAGCACGAGCGCGCTAAATTTTCATATATACGTTTGGACATGTTTTATTCCAACAACGCACACAAAGGTATAGTTTAAAATGCCGGTTAGCAACGCACTTTTCAATATAGAAAATAAAAATAGCTAAAATCCAAACACTTGCCATTAATGTTTCTTTATTTTTAACGAAATATTTCTGAATTATAATATAATTTTAGACGTCAATAGCTGAATGCTGTTATGACTCATAATGAGTAGGAAGGCGAATGGAAAATTTGTATGTGTGTGTGATGCGGCAATTTTTTCAATGGAATATTCCAGCAATTTTAGATAAATCAGCCAATTTCGAGCAATCATTAAATATTGATGTATACATAATTTGCAATGTAAGCAGCAAGGTTCTAATTATTGGAAGTCCCAAATACAGCAGAAAAATCGAATGACGCAATATATGCATACAGATGCATGTAAATACGCGAATATATTACATGCCAAAGTATTTTTGCTCGCATTTTAAACTTCAGCCACACGCAGCCATCATTTTTTATACAGTTCAATGGCAAAGCTGTATTTAAAATAACCCCAAAACTACTTGCATCAATGCACCTAACATCCAATTATTGATTTTAGTTGTAAAGCACATGGAAGACAATGGAAATTTTTTCAGGTCAAACACACGCGGCAATGAGCACGTGCCGAATTTAGAGTGCACTTTAATACATGAATGCATGTGAAAATTGTTAAATTCTAATTAAAGACTTACCTTTATGTTTTGTTCAGTTGAAATGTATTAAATATATGAATAACCGTGTAATTGCTACTTCACTTTGTCCCACTTAAATTTCTTTCTGCCGAACCGACACTCAAACGTTCGATCAAACTGGCGCTTGTTTTAGGAATAATGATGGCGTACGACTGTGCCTTTACTTATAAAGCGCCTTGCCCTGCTCTGGAAAATTCTAGTATATTAACTTTCACGATGTGGCAAGGCTGGCTGAAAACAGTGCTGTTCTAATGACGCTCAGTATTAATCGAAAATATCCAATGCTGCAGCCCTGCTTACTATGTTGCCTCTGCTCATCCGATAGCAAGCGCGCCAAACTTTAAACAATTCAAAAATAAGTTTATGAGACCTCGCAGTTATAAAACAATAAGTGGTGATATGAAGACCCCACATCAAAGTTGTCAAGTAGCTAATGGCATTCAGCTTATCAGCAATATTTGGTTGATAATGACAGGATTAGAATAGTAAGTGGGCTGTTCTATTGCTGTTTGTGCACTTTATCAATAGATTAGTGCATATGTTTTAAATATATACCTTTTATCGCACAACTTATCGCAACGATCTGCAAATACAAATGCGACAAGCGATTCGTAACCAATAAATAGAGTGAAACACCTTTGAAATGTTTCTATATATATTTTTTTATTGCTAAATTCATTATGCATATTAATTGACCTTATTTAGAGCAGGAGGTTTACAATCTGGTTCGACGCCTTCAAAAATAGGAGGTTTTTCACCGCTACCTCCTCCAATAATACCCTGTAGAATATCCGGCAGTTTACTATTGATAATCTGTAAGAGATGTGAATTATTAATTTAATTATTATTTATATATATTTAATACCCACCGCTTCGATTTTTTCAACAACTTTAGGCTGCTCATATTTCCATACATCATCCAATAACTCAACGCCCATTTCGTTAATTAGATCATGCAGGAAAATATCGATTCGCTCTTCCTCCATTAAATTTTCAAAATTAACTTTTAAATCTCCTAAAAGGAATTCTATTTGCAAATCTGTGATGGACAAAGAAGACGACAGTTTCAGCTTAAATGATATTTGAAGCGAAAAGTCTTTCACTGATGCTCTGGACATGGAAGAAGAGATAGATTTAACCAAAAGTCTTTATTTATAATCTTTTTCGTATTACTTACTCTGCATTGCCATCGCCAGCCAAATTAACAATATACGCCAAGGAACCTTTGGCAGTGTAAAGTGACTTGAAAAAGGTATGTGGTAAGGTGATTTTAATTGTGCTTCGTAAGCCAGGCACAACATTAATTTTAAGTGTATCTACAACAAAATCTGAAAGTCCTTTTAGTTGAAAGTCCTCGATGGAACCAGTAAAGCTGAAAGCAAATATCAATATACATATATTATACATATAATACGAATTGGGTGGCACTCACTCGATAAGGTATTGGTTATTCACAGCTGTCTCGGCAGGACCTAGTTCCAGTGGATCCAATGCAGGAAAGCCCAAATTGGGTATCGGGTGACACATGCGCATACGAAACTCCTCTAGAAATTCCAGTATTGCAGCCTCATAAACGCCAACAACAGGCGAAAGGCAGCAATAAAGAGAAGCCGTGGCTACAAGCAGACGCAATATGTGACCCGACTGCATAGTGAATATTCGTTTGCTTAGGGCTAAAGCACGCAACTGAAGTGCTAGGCCAACAGTATTTGGTTTTTGTCAAGTGCTACCATTTCCAGTTCCCATTATGAATGTCAAAATACGATTAATACAAATTCGTGATACTCTCTATCCTTATCACTGTTTTGCAAATAACAAAAAATACGCTCCATTTTATATTGACTGGTGTATAAGAGATATTCTGAACTATTAATTTAAAGTTATATGTTCGATTAGATTTACTATATCATATCAAATATTCTTGAAAGCTAAAAGTCTATGATGCTATCATTCAGAAATCGAATCTATTCATGGCATTTCATTGATGAATATATTTCGATTTGTATTCACATTTTTTAAAATTATTACTCTTGTCTTTGAGGTATACACTCTCTGTACAAAATATTTGTTATTTTGATATTAAGACCAAAAGCTTATCGCCAAAAACCTGGTGAAGCCTGAGACGTGTAAATCGAACATCCATTCTATGCTTATCAATTTTTGATTAAAACGACACTTTATTTATATTTAACCATTGAACAATAATCTCCACGCTTCTGTTCGGTTAATCGCTTCAATGACTGTTATCAAATACGTAAGAGCTGCAACACTTAAAACTAGTTTTAGTAAATATTTATGCTAATGCTAAACTTGTTCTGGCGGCTGTTGCAAATGAGCAGGCAGCTGCTGCAGCTCCGTCTTAGCTGCTTGAAGCGCCACGCCCTCGGGCAAATTGCGCTCGATGTACTCCAGGAACGTGTCCAGCGTCGAGCCCGTTAGCTTGTGGAAATTCATATAACGAAAATGAGTTCGAATCTCGTATTGAACGCGATGCTTCTTATAGATGTGTACGGACTTCAGTAGAGTCATTCGTTCATGGTGTGCCTTGCGGGGGCTCCAACTGTAAATGTACAAAGCATTAATATCAGAACATGTGCACATTCATACAATCAGTTTAAGAGAATAAACACACGAGCAAATGCAATCATTTATCTTACGGCGGCACTTACCATTTGCCCAACTCAATGCCCAAATGCTCCGCAGCGGTTGTCGCAAACCAGGTATAACTTCTCAGAACAGCCGGATCAATTCCTCGCAGCTCAATTTCTAATTTACTGTAAAGCTTATCGGGTTCGCCTGAATCCACAGCAGAAACATCAGCAGAGCCGGACGGTATATTTGTTGCTGTGCTGCTTAGAGCAGAGGCAAAGCGCGTAGGCTGTGTCAAACGCAAACTCTTTAATACCTAAATAGTAACAGTTCAAAATAAAATGTAAGTTTTAATAAATAAAAATAATTTGAGTTACGTACCTGAAGCATGTTGTTATTGCCACTAAAACAGAGTTATGCAAGTGCAGGGATGCGAAAAGTAAATTATTTATCGATAGTTTAATAACATTTGCCGGGGTGTGGAGACATTGTTTCTCTCCGCACGTGCTGCTGTCTAAGAGCGCCTTGAAACTATTTGGTGTTATTTATAAATTGGTTGCTATTTATTAATATGGATAATACAGAAAATAAAGGTACATTTATATACATTTATATACAAATAAATCATGATACATTTACAATATGATTTTTAATAATAGCTAATGAGTCCAGCTCTGATGAGGATGCATTCGAGGACATCGATGATAACGAAGAAATTGAAGACGACGACGAAGAAGAGCCAACAACTTGTTTATTTTGCACTCAAGTTTTTACCAGTATCGATCCGGCGATCGAGCATTTAAATAGCCAGCATAAAGTGAATTTGGCTCAGCTTAAGCAGAAATTCCAAATGGATCAGTATGCATTCATTAAGTTAATAAATTACATACGTGGAGGTCGAATAACTGCTGAGCAGTTGCTTCAGACCAAGCAACCCGAATGGAATGATGAGAAATATTTAAAACCTATTCAGTACGAGTCATGGCTATGCTACGACTATGATGCCATCACAACTGATGCTCCACAGGCAGCAGCGAGCGTACCCGAGTTGCTGCAACGCATTGCCGAACAAGGACAATTGCTGCAACAAGCCAGCGAGGATATGGAACGCATGCGCAACGACTACAGAGATCTTTTACAGAAGGTGCACAGCGAGGGAAAGGATACCGCAGCAACTAAGAACGGAGTTGTGCGTAATGCTCCGTCTTTTGATAAAGAATATTTCAATAGCTATTCACACTTTGGCATACACCATGAAATGCTCAGCGATACGGTAGAGTATTATAACTCTAACTAACTCTGTATTATCATTATTATTAATATTATTTATATTACTTATTGTCCCTTTAAATAGGTGCGCACTAGCAGCTACCGCTCTGCCCTAATGGAAAACCAAAAATTTCTGAATGGAAAGTCCGTTTTGGATGTGGGATGTGGCACGGGCATACTCTCCATATTTGCTTCTCAAGCTGGCGCTAAAAACGTCGTTGGCATTGACAATTCAGAGATTGTCTATACTGCTATGGATATCGTCAGGTAAGCCAGGCATTGCTAGGCATTTCAATCAGTTAAAGTGTAGATTTTTTATTTGATGATTAATAATAAATAAATTTGTAGATATATGATTATATTATTTCTAAAAAGTTGACTTCATAGTTTTTTTTATTCAATCAGCTTATTAAAACCTTAATCAACAGAATAATTAAAATTAGTTTATTTGAATTCACGTGACTGATTCAATCTAATTAGAAACCCAAATAACTCCAACTAGATCAATTCAAAGACGACAAGGCTAGACAACCCAATATTCTAATTAGAAATGCATAAAAATAAAGTGGACCAACTCACTTATATAAAGAAACCCCAGACACAATTGAACTAATACATTTTTATTGATTTAAGTTTGAAAACTATTAAATGACCGACAAAAAACATTTTTTTATTATTATAACTAAAATTCTTCTGTTCGGTCAATGGCATATATTCTTATTAGAATTAAATAAAAATAACAGAACATTGTTGATCTCACGATTATAAATCAAATTTAAATAGATTATAAAAAAATTTGAAACTAATTTAACCCACTCCCTAACAGAAAAAATAATATTAAGAATGTGCAGCTCATTAAGGGTCGATTGGAGGACACTGAACTGCCCGAGGCCAGATACGATGTCATCATATCGGAATGGATGGGCTATTTTCTGCTCTACGAGGCCATGTTGGACACGATTATCTATGCACGCGAAAATCATCTGAGTCCCAATGGGAAAATTCTACCCAATCGCTGCACACTCCATTTGGTGGGCATAAATGAGATGCTGCATGAGCAGCACGTGGAGTTCTGGTCCGATGTCTATGGAGTGGACATGAGTGATTTGCGCAAGCGCAGCATAGAGGAGCCGCTAATTGAGGTGGTCAATCCAGAGCACATATTAACCGACAGCCAAGAAATAGCCAGCTTTGATATGATGACCGTTGATCTGAACTATTCGAACTTTTCGCATG